CGGCGCCGGGGAGCACCAGGACCCGGCCTCCCGGCGCACAGGCTGCCTCCCTCCCCTGCAGCTTGGCCTGGCGAGCCTCGCTTTTAAAGCAAGAAGGGGACGGAAGGGACAGAAAAACTTCCTCTCGTAAAAAAGCGGCCGGATCGTATGCCACTCTCCTTCGCATCCCGCGGCCTCTGGGATTTTATCACCCGGGGTCTGAGGACTTGCAGCCTGCACTGTGGAGTAAAAATAAATAACCCTAAACGGAGATCTACAGTTGCTTCGCGGATGTTCGCCCTTCGCCCGGAAAACAGGCGAAAGCCGAATTTCCTGCTTTCGCGTGTCCTCCCGCTTGACCCAGAGCCTTGGCAGAAGTTTACGTTGCCTCGGGGCCAGGGGCTGCTCTTGCCTCTTAAAAATCGGCATCGTGACAACTCCTTGGACTTTCCGGAGCGGGATCCAGGGAAGTCCTGCCCGTCGGCTTGAGCTTCGGAGAGCTTTGCACCATCCCCAGCGTCCTTCCCTCCCCACCGCCAGGTGAGCGATGACTCATTAAGGCATCATCGCTGCGCCACCATCCGGAACACAAAAGATGCTTTAGGCACCGATCCTTCAAACAAGGCGCTGTAGTTTGTTTTTGCTGTCCTTCAAAGGGTTGTGGTTTTTTTTAAATCATCTTTCGAAGCGAGACTGCGCTCGACTGATGGCCGCGGAGGGGGATCCCTCCCGCTGATGCCCCTGGACCATGGTTGCTTCCATGGGCGGATCATGAAGTGTTTGACTTTCTTTCTTCTGCTTCCAGAGACCTTAAAGAAGTCCAAAAAGAGCGTCCGGGCCAACGGCAAAGGGGCAGCATGCTATGAGATATTGCCCCTGGGCCTCAAAAAGAAGATGGCTGCGGAACTTTACCCTGCCAGCGCCAATACCAATCTCGCAAACAGCAATAACGCCGCCGCCGCCAACACCAAGAAAAACGCCCTTCAGTTCCAGCAGAGCGCGCAGCCCCCGCCGCCGCCGCCGCTGCAAAACCTCAACAACAACAACGTGGAGAGCGCTAACTGGCAGTCCTTCCACCCCACCCTGCGAGAGAGGTAAGCCCGGCTCGGGCAAGCAGCCCAGAGGAGGAAACGCGTTGTGCGGCGGCCGCCGCAAGAGGAAGGGAGGGCAACTTAAAGGCAGAGATTGAGAGAGAGAGAGAGAGACTCTCCCCTTAAGAGCGAAAAGCTTCAGCAGTTGCTGCAAGAACCTGGGCGTGAACTCTGTGCTGGCTCTGTGAAAGGGCTCTCCCGCACCATTGCTTTCCATCGCAATAAAAGGCAATGGAATTGAGGTGTCTGGTATAACTAAGGGATACCTCTTGTGCTTGTGGAGAGCTGGGTTTTTTCCAGAAATTGGAGAGGTGGGGACACCTAATCACATCTTGCTCAGCAAGTGGCAGCTGACCTTGCCTAGGCTCAGAAGCTAAGCAGGGATAACCTCGTTAATACTTGGATGGGACCCCTGCAGGTAACAAGCCAGCACAGGAAAGAGCCACTGCGGTAATGGTTGAAACAGTTCCAAGAAAGGGGGGAAGAGGCACCCTGCATTGATTGGAAAGTGGGAGGAAGAAAGAGTATGAGATGATGGTGGTAGAGGTAGTGTTAACTGTGGCTCTGTTTTGTAAATCTACAGAAACGCACTGATGTTCAACAACGAACTTATGGCTGATGTGCATTTCATTGTGGGCCCAGTGGGGGCAGCCAAGAAAGTTCCTGCTCACAAGGTTGGTGGGATCTTTTCTATTTAAGCCATTATATGAATCGTGCACTAAAAGATGCTTGTTCCCCTGTCCGCTTAGCTTAACTGCTGCAAATAAACCTTAATGAGGATATTGTTGCACAAATGCAATAAAAACAATTGTCTAAAAATATCAGAATATGTAACCTTCCAGTTAATCTGCAGTTGAGTGTTTATTAATGGTAGTTGCTGAGGGGGGTGTCTAACCTCTAACAGTGGGTTACAAAAAGAAATTGTGCTGTGCTGATATATTCTGATCTAAACCATTATAGCTAAGTGGGAGACAGAAAGACTTCTAAAACGTATTTAATTCTCTGCCTACCATCGTCCCTAATTTGGAATTTATAATTTTTAATGCAGTATGTATTGGCAGTGGGTAGTTCGGTCTTCTACGCAATGTTTTATGGAGATCTTGCAGAGGTCAAGTCTGAAATCCATATACCAGATGTGGAACCTGCTGCTTTCCTAATCTTATTAAAGTAAGTAGTAATTAAGACATGTTACTAATTGCATGACTTTAAAAAAAAAATTAAGTAACATGAATGTAAATGTTTAAAATCTTAAGATGTTGAAAGCTGAAACTAAGAGTCATGTATTTTTCTTTTAAAAAAGGGAATCTTTTTATATTGATAGGTACATGTATAGTGATGAAATCGACCTGGAAGCAGACACTGTGCTTGCTACTTTGTACGCGGCCAAGAAATATATTGTCCCAGCATTAGCAAAAGCTTGCGTCAATTTTCTGGAGACTAGCTTAGAGGCCAAGAATGCTTGCGTTCTGCTGTCTCAGAGCAGGCTCTTTGAGGAACCAGAGCTGACACAACGCTGCTGGGAAGTCATTGATGCTCAAGCTGAAATGGCCCTGAAATCGGAGGGTTTCTGTGAAATAGATCAACAGACGCTAGAGATCATTGTGATGCGGGAAGCCCTGAACACCAAGGAGGTTGTAGTGTTCGAGGCAGTTCTGAACTGGGCTGAGGCTGAATGTAAGCGACAAGGGCTGCCGATTACACCAAGGAACAAGAGGAATGTATTAGGGAAAGCTTTATACTTGGTACGGATTCCAACAATGACTTTGGAAGAGTTTGCCAATGGGGCTGCTCAGTCTGACATCCTAACCCTTGAGGAAAGACATAATATTTTCTTGTGGTATACTGCTGCAAATAAACCGAAGTTAGAATTTCCACTAACAAAGCGGAAAGGACTTGTACCTCAAAGATGCCATCGATTTCAATCATCTGCATATCGTAGCAATCAGTGGAGGTACCGGGGGCGATGTGATAGTATCCAGTTTGCTGTAGATAAAAGGATATTTATAGCAGGACTGGGACTCTATGGGTCAAGTTGTGGAAAGGCCGAATACAGCGTCAAAATTGAACTAAAGAGGTTAGGCATTGTACTTGCCCAGAATCTGACAAAGTTTACGTCTGATGGCTCTAGTAACACTTTCTCAGTATGGTTTGAGCATCCTGTGCAGGTTGAGCAAGACACCTTTTACAATGTAAGTGCCATTCTAGATGGCAACGAACTCAGTTATTTTGGACAAGAGGGAATGACTGAAGTACAGTGTGGAAAAGTGACATTCCAATTCCAGTGTTCCTCAGACAGCACCAATGGCACAGGAGTACAAGGAGGACAAATACCTGAACTCATTTTCTACGCATGATGCATTTCACTTAGATTGTATTCCAGGGCTATTCTGCTCATTAATGGATACTTTGATCTCATTGAAAGGTTGCGGAGCAGTACAGAATATTATAGTACTTACCTATCTATTCACCATCAGGCTATCAAACTAAGTGAAGGAATGCTCTTGAATTTAATCTTATTTTATTTATTCATAAGCTATTTGACTTAATTATTAAACTGCAATATGCAGAGTGAGAAATGTTTTAAAAATTGCACATGATGTGCATTTATTTTGTATATAGACAACTAACTGCTGAGACTGACTCAAATAGAATGTTATAAAGTAGAGCAGTTTGAGAATCTGTTGAATATAAAACATTTTTACTTGTCCTAAATACCCGTGTGCTTTGCTCATTATTAATCCTCTGGTATTTGTACCACATCAATATATGTAGAAATTTTAACTTTTTTTTTTTTAAGGTGAAACCCAAGGTGCTACAATTCCACATCCATTTCTACAGGCAAAACCTCTTAGTAAGATTGAAGTACACATATCTGAGACTAAGTGCACTACAGAATAAATGTTTCATTTATTTTTATATACCATCTCTATTAGCGGAAATGCTTGTGCCTAAAACATTAGCAGAAAAATAAATATAATTTCCTAGGAGATGAATTTCCCTTGATATAGATATGTGTGCAAAGAAAGGGTGCACAGAAAATTTCAGAATTCTGTAACAGCTACAGAAGCTGCAGTGCAATTAAATTGTTATACTTCCCTCTTACCAACAAAAGTCAGTTCACATTGGCTATGTTCATAGAACATGATTAATGAACCCAACAAACTCTAACCAAGCTTGATATGTTGTATGAATGTAGCTGCCAGGCCTTTATTTGACTTGCTTATCCATGCTGTGTGGAAAAAACCTAAAAGTGTTTTCAAAATCTCAGTCCTATGTTTGCTTACAGAATAGTAAGCTAATAACTACAGGCAGGCAGCTATTTCCTCTCACGAAACATTTTTCACTACTCAGTTCCATGTGTCCAAACTTATTTGTCACAGATCATGTACTGAAATTCAGTAATAATCCCATTCACTTGATTTTCAAAGTCAAGAATGGGGGAAAAAATGACACTTCAGGAATCTACTTTGAACACCATGGCATTTACTTCTGAGTAAGTAAGCAGAGGATCATGCTGTTTAATTTAGTTTTTATAGCTTAATAAGCCCCCAGGAGGAGACTGTCAGCCATCTGTATATGTAACTATAGAGACAGCCCAAAGAGGCAAGCAGCAAAGCCAGTGCAAAGCATTATCTTGCAACTACTGCGCTCTACAAAATGGGGTATGCTTCGTGCCCCTTCCACTCATGTTCATCCAGCAACTGGAGGCTTATTCTCATCAAGCAATATGCACTTAACTGGGCAATATATGAATTAGGGTAAGTCAGAAAAGTAGCATCAGCCAAGATCTAAAGGAGCTTATGAGCTACCAAGGGGATTCTGGATTTGTTTGCCATGATATGTTTCTGCAACTGGAGGAAACCTCACAAATATTTAACATAAATATGGGTATATACAATGCCCAGTGTAGCTCCTCAGATAATAAGCATCCTTTTTATCAATCTAAAGTTATAAATGAGATAAAAGCAAATAACTTTAGCCCCTCAGTATTGTGCTAAATTCATATATTAAAAATGTATGATACCAATATGATAATGTCAGTAGTGTTTGTGTTCAGTCTCTGAAAATTTAAAATTCCTGATGGAGTTATAAGGACCACTTACACAGTTATGGTCTTATTAAGTAATTAGACTGAAAGAGCATCTCTGAATTATATCCTAAATACGTTTGCTATTATGTGAAACCAACAGCATAATCATCTAACCCAGCATGCACAACAAGCTAATTTAGGGAAACATTTTGCATAGCTTGCCAGCACTGTTGCTAGGAGCATTAGTCAAAACATCCCTGGTTCAAATCTCTTCTCTGCCATTACCGCTCCATATGGTCATAGGCAAAGCCACTTTCTCAGGGATAATGGTCTGTTTTAAGATTACTCAGATAATATACACAAAGTGCTTTAGACACTCTAAAATGGTATATAAATTATTCAGAGTGTCAGAAATGAATTATTCGACTTTCTGTTAGCAGTAGATTTTGGCATTTTCTAACATATCACACTACTTTCCCAGTATATTCAGAAATCACTTAATGAAAGTGTTCAGTACATTTCTGATATTTGCCATGACATCCACAATATAATGCTGTTACCACTGTTGATGTATCAATGCTGTTAAGAACATCTCTGTAGGGATTAGTATCACACACTATATGATATGATACCAATACAAGGAAGCAATGATTGGGCATTTCACTATGTTCTCTGCAAAGGTAGCATGAGCCCATATTTTTGTCATGGAAATGTTCCTTTGTGCATTTAAACAGGGCCACTCTGTTTATAGAGCTCTTACACAAATTTTTTTTTTTTTAACTTTTTTTAAAAAAAAATCACAATGACCTGGTTCATATACAATAAGCTGTAATGGACAGCTTTATATATTAAAGTAAGCTAACAGTATGCTTTAGCATTACAGTAAGCTAACAGTATGCTTTAGCATTATGAACCAGGTCACAGAGTCTGGTGTATGTAACACCACTATTATAACTACTGTCCACAAGTCATGATTTAGAAAGAATGATATTTTGGGTTCTGCAAAATTGCAGAGGAAGCACTGCCTTTTTAAGGAGGCAGGCCTCAAATCCCAAGTGACCTCCCTCTAAACTAACCTAGCTCCTTATAATTATTATTCATTCACTCTTCCCCTTCCACCTTTGATAGATTCTCATCACATACAATCTTGGGAAAGGATAAACTTTGTTTAAGCAGTTGTAGACAAGTAAAATGTTCTATATTTGGGCTACATTCTATGTTCATGCCTCTGCATGCTGTGAAGCACTATTTTGCCTTTAAGTCCAAAGCACTTATCACCATCCTTATTTTATTTCTGTTGATTGTTAGCATAAATACATATTTTGTTACAGTTATTTCAAACGATGGATATAACTAGAAGAAGTCACACTGATAACAGAAGTAACCGTTTTTCAGTTTTAAGGTAAATCCTGGGCTTACATGAACAGTTTTCATTTCTAGATTCCTCTGGACTCAATTCTGAAATGCTTTTAAAAACAAGTTAAACAGCCCATGTATTTTTTTGAAAAGCTGCCATAAAATCATGGCACAATGTAACTACATGTCAAAAGCCAATTCTTATTTAAAAATACCTATAGCTGGAGCATTTATGCAGAGTTCTCGGGCCAACAGAAGGAACGTTTTTCCCAGCACGTAGACGTTCACCTATACAAAGGGGGAAAAAATCCTTTGAATATTAAGAAGCAGAAAAATAAATATGTCTTTAGATGAAATAGCTTGAAAATAATCATCTAGTGTTTAAATAAGCATCAAAATGTTTTCAAGTAAATCCCAAAATTCCTGACACAGCCAATTACTAAAGCAGAAAAATCCCTAATGGACTGCATTTAATTTTGGCTTTTTTTTTTGTTTTTTTTAATCCCACCTTTATTATTTTTATAAATAACTCAATGGAATGAACATACCTAATATTCCTTCCTCCTCCTATTTTCCCTACAACCACCACCCTGTGAGGTGAGTTGGGCTGAGAGAAAGTGAGAGACAGGCTTTGTGCTATCAGAAAAAAAAAACGTATGTTCATATAATATGGGGTAACCAATTTTCACAGATCTCATTACCCAGCAGTCCCTTCTTTTGAAAGCTGCTTCTAAAACTTAGAAGACCTTCCAGAACAATATGGAATAGAGCACAGAATTCTACAGTAAGGTAAAACCATGAACATTGGAAAATTTGGGAATAAACTCTTTCTGCTGATGCAAAACTACAAAAACAGTTTTGTAACCTACAAAAACTAGAGCCAGTTTGGTCTAGTGCAGCGATGGCGAACCTTTTGGGCTTGGTGCGTCAAAAATTCGGAAAATGCCTAACTTGACACTGCTGGCATATCACCCCCCACCTCCGAACAAAAGAGAAACAATTCTTTACATATTCATTCATTTTTAAAACAATTATTTTATTTATTTATTCATCATACTTATATAGCGGCCTATCTCATACAAGGTGACTCTGGGCGGTGTACAACAATTAAAAAAATAAATACATAAAAACAATT